TAATTTAATTGACGTAATTTGATTTAACTTAATTTATTTTATTTTATTTAGTTTAATTTAATTGACTTAATTTAATTTAATTTAATTGATTTAGTTTGGTTTTTTTATAATTTAGTTATTTTGATTTACCTTGATTGAATTTGATTTAATTTAATTTAATTTAATTGATTTAATGTAATTTAATTGATTACTTTACTTTAATTTATTTCAATTTAATTGATTTCATTTGATTTGATTTAATTTAATTGATTTCATTTGATTTCATTTGATTCAATTTAATTGAATTAATTTGATTGAATTGATTTCATTTCATTTCATTTCATTTCATTTGATTTTTAATTGATTTTAATTTAATTAATTCATTGAAGGCAATTGAATCATTTCACTTTATTCGATTTAATGGATTTTAATTTAATCTGATGGAATGGAATGGAATTTATTTTATTTCTGACCCCGCCCACCCTCCAGTTAGTGCCACGTCAATTTCATTCCATTTAATTCAATTTCATTCAATTTCATTTCATTTCATTTCATTTCATTGGATTGAATTTAATTACTTGGATTGAATTTAGTTTAATTGCATTAATTTAATTTAATTTAATTTAATTTAATTTGATTTGATTTAATTGACTTAATTTGATTTGATTTAATTGAATTGAATTAATTTGATTTGATTTAATTTAATTATTTGGGTTGAATTTAATTTATTGCATTTATTTCAATTAATTTAATTTAATTTAATTTAATTGATTTGATTTGATTTGATTGATTTGATTTGATTTGATTTGATTTGATTTAATGTAATTGATTTAATTTAATTTAATTGTTTTGATTGAATTTGATTTAATTTAATTATTTTTATTTAATTTGATTTGATTTAATTTAATTAATTTGATTTAATTTAATTTAATTTAATTGATTTCATTTGATGTGATTTAATTTAATTATTTTGGTTTAATTGAATTGAATTGCATTGATTAACCTAATAAAGCAAGAAATAGTTTAAAACACATAATATTAATAATTTTAATTACTATCGATTAATCAAATTACAAATGGCAAAAGAATACCAATAATTCTAATAAAATGATAATTCTAATAACCTAATAATGCAATAAATATTTCTAAAAATAGAAAATAATATATGAATTACTATTGATTAATAGTAATTTTATAGTAATTGCTATTAAATTAACAGTAATATAATACTATTATATATATAACAGTTATATAATATATATATAATAGTTATAGTTATATAATAGTTATATTATATATATATAATAGTAATATAATACTATTATATATAATATATATAATATATATATTAAATTACTCATTAAATTACTATTAAATTAATAGTAATATAATACTATTATATATATTATATATATATTATATATAGTATTTTTAATAGTATTATTAGTACTATTAATTAATAGTATTATATTACTATTATATAATATATATATAATATATATAATATATATAATAGTAATATAATACTATTAAATTGATAGTAATTTAATCGTAATTTCATAGTAATTTAATTGAACCCTAACTAAATAAAATAATAATGCAACAAATAGTTTAAAACATAAAAAAATAATGTTATTAATTGATATCTATTAATAAAATCGCCAATAGCAAAAGAATACCAATAATTCGAATAAAATGATAATCTAAATAGCCTAATAATGCAAGAAGTAGTTTAAAACACATAATATTAATAATTTTAATTACTATTGAATAATCAAATTACAAATGGCAAAAGAATGCCAATAATTCTAATAAAATGATAATTCTAATAAAATGATAACCTAATAACCCAATAAATATTTCTAAAAATATAAAATAATATTATGAATTACTAGTGATTAATAAAACCGCTATTAATACAAGAATAGCAATAATTCCAATAAAACGATAATTCTAATAACCTAATAACGCGACAAATAGTTTAAAAAACGCGTAATATGAACAATTTTAATTACTATCGATTAATCAAATTACAAATGGCAAAAGAATACCAATAATTCGAATAAAATGATAATTCTAATAACCTAATAACGCAATAAATAGTTTAAAACACGTAATATTAATAATTTTAATTACTACTGATTAATAAAATCGCGATTAATAAAAGAATACCACTAATTCTAATAAAAGGATAATTCTAATAACCTAATAATGCAATAAATAGTTTAAAACACATAATATTAATAATTTTAATTACTAGTGATTAATAAAATCGCGATTAATAAAAGAATACCACTAATTCTAATAAAATGATAATTCAAATAGCCTAATAACACAATAAATATTTCTAATAATAATAATGTGATTTTTTTTATGGCCAGGGCGGTGCGGTCGTTGACGGGCGAGCGCGGATTGGTCATCACTCGCTCCACCTACCCCAGCAGCGGCCGGTGGGCGGGGCATTGGCTGGGGGACAACACGGCCGCCTGGGACCAGCTCCACAAATCCATCATCGGTCAGCGCCGCAATCTACCCGATTAGTTATTTTTAGCCAAAATTCCGTTTTTAAACTTGTTTATCTTCCTAAAAAAATCACATTTTTTAAAGCCGAAATTCCAGGTTTTTTTCCTCATTTTTCTTCCCCCCAAAAATATCACTTTTTAAGCCAAAATTCCATATTATTTCTAATTTTTCTTCCCCAAAAAAATCACATTTTTTGAGCTAAAATTCCACGGTTTTTTTCCCAGTTTCCTTTCTAAAAATCAAATTTTTGGAGCCCAAATTCCACTTTTATTTCCTATTTTTCCTCCTAAAAAAAATCACATTTTTTGAGCTAAAATTCCATTTTTTTTTCTTGGTTTCCCTCCTAAAAATCAAATTTTTTGAATCAAAATTCCATTTTTTTTCCTCATTTTTCTTCCAAAAAAACCCTCAATTTTTAAGTCGAAATTCAAATTTTTTTCCTCATTTTCCTTCCTAAAAAATCACATTTTTTAAAGCCAAAATTCCATTTTTTTCCTCATTTTCCTTCCTAAAAAAATCACATTTTTTTAAGCCAAAAATCCATTTTTTTCCTCATTTTCATTCCTAAAAAAATCACATTTTTTTAAGCCAAAATTCCATTTTTTTCCTCATTTTCCTTTCTAAAAAATTACATTTTTTAAGCCAAAATTTCATCTTTTAATCTTATTTTCCTTCCTAAAAAAATCACATTTTTTTTAGCCCAAATTCCATATTTATTTCCTATTTTTCTTCCTAAAAAAATCACATTTTTTTAGACCAAATTCCATTTTTTTCCTCATTTTTCTTCCTAAAAAAATCACATTTTTTTAGACCAAATTCCATTTTTTTCCTCATTTTCCTTCCTAAAAAAATCACATTTTTTTAAGCCCAAATTCCATTTTTTCCCTCATTTTCCTTCCTGAAAATCCCATTTTTTATCCCCAAATTCCATTTTTTCCTCATTTTTCTTCCCAAAAAAAATCACATTTTTTTGAGCTAAAATTCCATGGTTTTTTCCCAGTTTCCTTTCTAAAAATCAAATTTTTGGAGCCCAAATTCCACTTTTATTTCTTATTTTTCCTCCTAAAAAAATCGCTTTTTTTGAGCTAAAATTCCATTTTTTTTTCTTGGTTTCCCTCCTAAAAATCAAATTTTTTGAATCAAAATTCCATTTTTTTCCTCATTTTTCTTCCAAAAAAACCCTCAATTTTTAAGTCGAAATTCAAATTTTTTTCCTCATTTTCCCTTCTAAAAAAATCACATTTTTAAAGCTAAAATTCCATTTTTTTCCTCATTTTTCCTCCTGAAAATCCCATTTTTTTGAGCCAAAATTTCATTTTTTTCCTCATTTTCCTTCCTAAAAAATCGCATTTTTTAAAGTCAAAATTCCATTTTTTCCTCATTTTCCTTCCTAAAAAAATCACTTTTTTAAGCCAAAATTCCATTTTTTCCCCACATTTCCTTCCTAAAAAATCACATTTTTTTAAGCCAAAATTCCATTTTTTTCCTCATTTTCCTTCCTAAAAAATCGCGCTTTTTTAAGCCAAAAGTCCAGTTTTTTCCCTCATTTTCCTTCCTAAAAAATCACATTTTTTAAGCCAAAATTTCATTTTTTAATCTTATTTTTCTTCCTAAAAAATCACATTTTTTTAAGCCAAAATTTCATATTTATTTCCTATTTTTCTTCCTAAAAAAATCCCATTTTTTGAGCTAAAATTCAGGTTTTTTTTCTTGATTTACCTCCTAAAAATCAATTTTTTTTAGTCCCAAAATTCCATATTTATTTCTCATTTTCCCTCCTAAAAATCACATTTTTTTGAGATAAATTCCAGATTTATTTCTCATTTTTCTTCCTAAAAATCGGATTTTTTGAGCCCAAATTCCACTTTTATTTCTTATTTTTCCTCCTAAAAAAAAAATCACATTTTTTGAGCTAAAATTCCATTTTTTTTTCTTGGTTTCCCTCCTAAAAATCAAATTTTTTGAATCAAAATTCCATTTTTTTTCCTCATTTTTCTTCCAAAAAAACCCTCAATTTTTAAGTCGAAATTCAAATTTTTTTCCTCATTTTTCTTCCTGAAAATCCCATTTTTTTGAGCCAAAATTTCATTTTTTTCCTCATTTTCCTTCCTAAAAAATCGCATTTTTTTAAGACAAAATTCCATTTTTTTCCCTCATTTTCCTTCCTAAAAAATCACATTTTTTAAGCCAAAATTCCATATTTATTTCCTATTTTTCTTCCAAAAAAAAATCATTTTTTTAAGCCAAAATTCCATTTTTTTCCTCATTTTTCTTCCTAAAAAATCCCATTTTTTTGAGCCAAAATTCCATTTTTTTCCTCATTTTCCTTCCTAAAAAATCACATTTTTTGGAGCCAAAATTCCATTTTTTTCTTCATTTTCCTTCCTAAAAAAATCGCATTTTTTTAGCCCAAATTCCATTTTTTTCCTCATTTTCCTTCCTAAAAAATCACATTTTTTTAGCCCAAATTCCATATCTATTTCCTATTTTTCTTCCTAAAAAAATTGCATTTTTAGAGCTAAAATTCCATTTCTTTCCTCATTTTTCTTCCTAAAAATCAAATTTTTTTTGAGCTAAAATTCCATGGTTTTTTCTTGGTTTCCCTCCGAAAAAATCCATTTTTTTTGAGTCCAAATTCAATATTTATTTCTCCTTTTCCCTCCTTAAAAAATCACATTTTTTGAGCTAAAATTCAATGCTTTTTTTTCTTGATTTACCTCCTAAAAATCACATTTTTTAGCCCAAAAATTCCACTTTTATTTCTCATTTTTCTTTCTAAAAATCCCATTTTTTGAGCTAAAATTCCATATTTTTTCCCTTGGTTTCCTTCCCAATAATCACATTTTTTTAACCCAAATTCCATCTTTTTTTCCTTGATTTCCCTCCTAAAAAATCCCATTTTTTGAGGCCAAAATTCCATATTTATTTCCCGTTTTTCCCTCTTAAAAATCGCATTTTTGGAGCTAAAATTCCACATTTATTTCTCCGTTTCCTTCCAAAAAAAAAATCACATTTTTTACCCCAATTTCCATATTTATTTCTCTTTTTTCTTCCCAATAATCACATTTTTAGCCCCAAAATTCCCATTTTTTTAAATTCCCATCCCAAATTCCCCTTTTTTACCCCCAAAATTCCCAATTTTTTTTAATTTCCATCCCAAATTTCCCTTTTTCACCCCCAAAATTCCCAATTTTTTTTTATTTCCATCCCAAATTCCCCTTTTTTAGACCCACAATTCCACATTTTTCTTGATTCCCCTCCTCAAAAAATCCAATTTTTTTCCCCAAAATTCCCAATTTTTAAAAATTTCCTTCCCAAATTCCCCTTTTTACCCCCAAAATTCCCAATTTTTTTAATTTCCATCCCAAATTCCCCTTTTTTACCCCCAAAATTCCATATTTTTTAAAATTCCCATCCCAAATTCCCCTTTTTTACCCCCAAAATTCCCAATTTTTTTTATTACCATCCCAAATTCCCCCTTTTTACCCCCAAAATTCCCAATTTTTTCTTATTTCTATCCCAAATTCCCCTTTTTTAGACCCACAATTCCACATTTTTCTTGATTCCCCTCCTCAAAAAATCAAATTTTTTTTCCCCAAAATTCCCAATTTTTAAAAATTTCCATCCCAAATTCCCTTTTTTTACCCCCAAAATTCCCAATTTTTTTTTATTTCTATCCCAAATTCCCCTTTTTTAGACCCACAATTCCACATTTTTCTTGATTCCTCTCCTAAAAATCAAATTTTTTTCTCCCCAAAATTCCATATTTTTTTAAATTTCCATCCCAAATTCCCCCTTTTTACCCCCAAAATTCCCAATTTTTTAAATTTCCATCCCAAATTCCCCTTTTTCACCCCCAAAATTCCCAATTTTTTTAAATTCCCATCCCAAATTCCCCTTTTTCACCCCCAAAATTCCCAATTTTTTTTATTTCCGTCCTAAATTCCCCTTTTTTAGACCCACAATTCCACATTTTTCTTGATTCCCCTCCTCAAAAAATCAAATTTTTTTTCCCCAAAATTCCCAATTTTTAAAATTTCTTTCCCAAATTCCCCCTTTTCACCCCCAAAATTCCCAATTTTTTTAAATTTCCATCCCAAATTCCCCTTTTTCACCCCCAAAATTCCCAATTTTTTAGATTTCCATCCCAAATTCCCCTTTTTTAGACCCACAATTCCACATTTTTCTTGATTCCCCTCCTCAAAAAATCAAATTTTTTATCCCCAAAATTCCCTATTTTTTAAAATTTCCATCCCAAATTCCCCTTTTTCACCCCCAAAATTCCCAATTTTTTTTATTTCCATCCTAAATTCCCCTTTTTTAGACCCACAATTCCACATTTTTCTTGATTCCCCTCCTAAAAATCAAAATTTTTTTCCCTAAAATTCCCAATTTTTTAAAATTCCCATCCCAAATTCCCCCTTTTCACCCCCAAAATTCCCAATTTTTTTAATTTCCATCCCAAATTCCCCTTTTTTAGACCCACAATTCCACATTTTTCTTGATTCCCCTCCTCAAAAAATCCAATTTTTTTCCCCAAAATTCCCAATTTTTTTAATTCCCATCCCAAATTCCCCCTTTTCACCCCCAAAATTCCCAATTTTTAAGAATTCCCATCCCAAATTCCACCTTTTCACCCCCAAAATTCCCAATTTTCTTCAATTTCCATCCCAAATTCCATCTTTTCACCCCCAAAACTCCCAATTTTTTTAAAATTCCATCCCAAATCCCCCCTTTTCACCCGCAAAATTCCCAATTTTTTTATTTCCATCCTAAATTTCCCTTTTTTAGACCCACAATTCCACATTTTTCTTGATTCCCCTCCTCAAAAAATCAAATTTTTTTTCCCCAAAATTCCCAATTTTTAAAAATTTCCATCCCAAATTCCCCTTTTTCACCCCCAAAATTCCCAATTTTTTTTAAATTTCCATCCCAAATCCCCCTTTTTCACCCCCAAAATTCCCAATTTTTTTTTATTTCCATCCCAAATTCCCCTTTTTTATCCCCAAAATTCCGTATTTTTTTTAAATTTCCTTCCCAAATTCCCCCTTTTTACCCCCAAAATTCCCAATTTTTTAAATTCCCATTCCAAATTCCCCTTTTTTACCCCCAAAATTCCCAATTTTTTAAAATTCCCATCCCAAATTCCCCCTTTTCACCCCCAAAATTCCCAATTTTTTTTATTTCCATCCTAAATTTCCATTTTTTAGACCCACAATTCCACATTTTTCTTGATTCCCCTCCTCAAAAAA